TCTCCTCACGCCAAGCGTCGTCAAGGCGGGAGAAGCAGCGGTACGGGGTGTGGAACCTCCCACACGTCTGTCCCTTGCGGTCACCTGTGCGAATGACATAAGAACAGCGGGCACTGGCCCCCGACGTCCCACGCTGAGCAAGCCACTCACGAAGCTGCTGGGTCGTCTGGGGACGCTGCTGCTGCTGGGAGCTCTGGCCCGAGCCAGTGCCTCCACTCCGACCTCCGCCGCCACCACTACCACCGCTCCGACCGGCACCGCCACCACCGCCACCACCGCCACCGCCGCCACCGCCGCCGCCGCCACTACTGCCACTGCTTCCTCCGCCGCCCCCGCCTCCACCACCGACCCCACTCCCACCAGCGCTCCCGCCACCGCTCCCTCCAGCACCGCCTCCCCCCCCACCTCCCCCACCTCCTCCCCCCCCAGCGCCACCACCACCACCCTTGCCCCCCTTGCCCTTGCCGGTGCGGCGCCTCCCACCAGGAGTAGAAGCAGCGCCAACAGACTCAGCACCAAGGAAGTCAACAGCAGCAGCAGCAGCGTAGGAGGGAGCGAGGGGAGAGGGAGAACACCCCTCAAAGATGGGGGTGCGAGGAGCGCCACGAGCAGCACCGACAGCTACAATGCTCTTTTCGGCCGCGAGCAGGTGCTCCTCTAGGAGGGCGACTGTGAGCTCAGTGGGACAGCGAGCAAGGAAGTGGTCTCGAACTGAGCGGAGGGTGTCAGGGAGACGGGTGACTATGAAGTGGAGTGTCCAGTACAGTGGAGGGGGGTTCTTAGCGCAGAACTCGGTGGGAAGGGCGGCACGCAGGCGAGCATCACTAGTGCGAAGGTGGGTGATAAGATCGGCGACTGTAGTAAAGGTGGACAGATCGGGGAACAGGTACGGCAGCATGAGGCGGCTAAGCTCGGCTGTGGCAGGCGAGGAGTAGCGAGCGACGACAGCGTCGTACAGGGCCTTAGCGGATTTGCAGTCGCCAAAATGCTCGAGCTCAGCTAACGGCAGGTGACTGCGAATGGCTAGGCGAGCAGCTGCGTCACGAGTCTGCCAGTGGGAACGAACACTAAGCTCAGCTGTGGCAGGAGGGGCAGGCGCAGCACCAGACGCGTAATCATAGAGCGACACATGCTCCTTGCTATCGCTCAGGAGGAACAGCTGCAGGTCATCTAGCCAAGCGGTGAACCGCACAGGGCGGCCCTCAGCATCGAACGACAGCACGCGGATGGAAGCCATAGCGACAGTGTGACAGAGTAACGCAAGCTGCCGCAGCAGGGGAAGGCGACTGTGCACGGATAGAGAGCAGCGGGCGAGGCTGGCGCTACGGGCAGGCGGCGCTGCAAGCGGTCAGCGCGACGGGAGGGCGACGCTGCGAGCGGGCAGCGCGGCGGACGGGCCGGGAAGCGGGCAGCGCGGCGGGCAGGCGGCGCTGCAAGCGGGCAGCACGGCGGGCGGGCGACGCTGCGAGGCGGGCGGGCCGCGAAGCGGGCAGCGGGCGGGCGGGCGGCTGCGAAGCGAGCAGCTGGGCGAGCGGGCTGCGATGCGGGCGGGCCGCGAAGTGGGCAGCTAGCGGGCGGGCGGGCTGCGAAGTGGGCGGGCCGCGAAGCGGGCAGCGGGGCGAGCGGGCTGCGAGGCGGGCGGGCCGCGAAGCGGGCAGCGAGCGGGCGGGCGGGCTGCGAAGTGGGCGGGCCGCGAAGCGGGCAGCGAGCGAGCGGGCTGCGAAGCGGGCGGGCCGCGAAGCGGGCAGCGAGCGAGCGGGCCGCGAAGCGGGCGGGCCGCGAAGCGGGCAGCGAGCGGGCGGGCGGGCTGCGTAGCGAGCGGGCCGCGAAGCGGGCAGCGAGCGGGCGGGCGGGCTGCGAGCGGGCGGCTCGGCGAGGGGCGCGCGAGGGCGCTAGTGAAGGGGCGCGCGAGGGCGCTAGCAAGGGGCGCGCGAGGGCGCTAACGAAGGGGCGCGCGAGGGCGCTAACGAGGGTGCGCGCGAGGGCGCTAACGAGGGGCGCGCGAGGGCGCTAACGAGGGCGCACGAGGGCGCTACGAGGCTAGGGCACGGGGTAGCGTGGTAACCGCATGCGAGCGGTGGTGGGCCCTTAAAAAAAAAACGGTCGGTAGGTCCTAGGGACCTCCTGCTCTGAATACCATGTCAGAATCACTAGGCAAGAATGATGGATTGAATCACACAGTTGGGTACAAGTAGCAAACCCTAGTTGGGGTTGTACCCCATATTGGCTACCCCACTACAGCCTACAAGCATAATACAGTTTAACAGAAACGATACTTCGTGTCAGAATCCCAGCCACTAACCACTTGGATAAAAGGGCTTATTTGTGTAGCGGGTGAGTGCGCCCATAACCCCCCAGGCCGACGTGCCTGTAACCCTTCCCTAGGATCGATCGGGGATCACCAGTGGACCTCTGACACCCCCCCGCACTGGGATGCCCGAGGTGCACACACCGGGATTCGAACCCGAGACCTTCGCTCTGATACCATGTCAGAATCCCAGCCACTAACCACTGGGATAAAAGGGCTTATTTGTGTAGCGGGTGAGTGCGCCCATAACCCCCCAGGCCGACGTGCCTGTAACCCTTCCCTAGGATCGATCGGGGATCACCAGTGGACCTCTGACACTTCGAGCGCTAATTGCTGTTGTCTGTGCAGATTTCGCACAGGTACAATCGGAGTAGATAGCCCAAACAGGATCAGGAATCAGAGTACACTCGGAGAAGAAGTCTGAAATTTCAGACAAGGCCTATATTTTTTTTTTCTGAATATTCAGAGTTAGTTGCAAAAAAATTCTGAACTTTCAGAGTCCACTTAAAAAAAAGGCTGAAATATCATATTTTTTTAGGCAAATCAGAGAAATTTCTCTGACTTCTGAGGGCCTGGTACTAGGTTGCTTCGCAGCCCAAAAAAGATTTCCTTGGCGGTGTTCGCCAGGAACTTCGAAAACGGACGGCATTTTGGCGGCATCGGCATGATGACCACATCCGGAACCGGGGTCAAAACCCCCCCAAGAGCTCTGGGCGTTATGCGGTCCGTGAAACTTCAACTTCCAAAACGGGAAATTTTGCAACCGCATATGGAACCCCCAGCCCCACCTTCCTGATCTAGTGGCGCGGAATTTTCGCGCCACTGACCATTGCCAGACCGAAGGCCAAAAACGAACCAGGGTAACAAGCGAAAAAAAAAAAAGGAAAACAACTCAAACCAGGTTTGTGACTCGGGAAAGGTTCGCGATTGATTTCGAAGTACTGCCGTTGCTTGAGCAGCTCGAAGGTGTGCTCGGGTTGGGAAAGTTGGGGGTAAACTAACCCCCATTCGTCAAACATTTGGGGCTGTCAGTGGTTCCCCTGTGCTGTGCAATGCCACAGCCACGCCATCGCCATTCACAGTGGAGAGGTGGATAGCGATGGCATCGTCGGGGGATTGTTTTTGCCAGGGGAGGAAGCTGCGACCCCGTTTCCATATGCGGTCATGCACTTCGAAGTGGATAAAAATTGGGGGCGTTCGCCACGCCCTCACGTTTCTAAGGGCGTATCCAACTTCGGGTCATGAGCACTGTTCCGGGCATCCGCAATTTGCGGATGACCCAAACAACATAAAACGCCACTTTGGGTCCTCCGAACTCATGCGACCCCCAAAGAGCCGCGAGGGTTTTCGCGCCAAAATCACGCTCCCCACAACAGTCGCATCCAATGGAAGGATGCCTAAACAGTTCGAACGATCCTTAGCGAGACCACGCGAAACCCACCGACAAAACACAATCGTCAAAATTCCCGGCGTGAATCCCCAAATGTTGGGAGCGCGACGCGGGAAATTTTGGACACACTCATGGTCACTGGGGTCAATTTGCCGAGTGGTTGGGTGCAGAGGTGTAAGACGTGGGACATTGCCCACATGTGACACTCAACTGACGACCGCCTAAAACTGGCAGTAAATACGGAATCGTGCAGCCAGGTGATTGGTTGGGGGTGGGTCGTGCACGTCAGTCGCCCAACACCTGCACATTGACCCAAAGCTGGGGCCGCGCGCGGCTCGGCAGCCCACTTCGGGTCATGTGCAAATTCCGCATGACCCAAACAGTAGCCAGAACAGTGCTCATGACCCGAAGTTGGATACGCCCTAAGAGGTTCGGACGGCATAAGAGGTTCGGCAGCATTTTTACAGGCTGACCTGGCTGACGGAGGTGAACGAACCCTAAGTGACGGGATCATGAAGACGAGACGTACCTTCCTAATCCCGTCGTTATCCCATCTTTTTTGCTTGGAAATGTGCTGGCGAACACCGCCCTTGTAATAAGTTCAGCGCCTTAGTCCCAAACGCTAGGTCAATTTTATTAACCCAATTGAACCGCATCGAACCCCCGTCTCTCTCAGCTCAAGGCGTGGGTATTTCTTCACCACTGCAACTCCATTCCCTGTCTGAACTTCAAGCTACACAACTCTCCGTAACTGCCGCTCCACAAGGCAGCCATTGGTTGTCGTAACACGTTTTTCCCACAGACTACCACCCATCGTCTGGGTATTGTGGGCATTGCGTGTTCGGCCAATCAAACGTTGGCTTCACGCCGTCCTCGTCGCCATGTTTCCCACTGCTATTCGCGGTGCTCGCCGGCTCACGTCATGCCCCGTCAGCACCGTATACGCGCGTGGCTTCGCGGCGTCGCAAAACAGTCTGCAAAGCAGTGCGTACTGAGATCGCTTTCTTGCAGTGCGTACTGAGATCGCGTTCTTGCATAGTCCGCGATTCGCACTTGATTAGGATGGATTTTTCAGTTCAAGCTTTTCGTGCACTCCGTAGCACTGCTGTGTTTACCCGAATCGCCTCTACGCCTGCATGTTTCTACATTACACGTCGGATACTGATTAGAGCGAGGCGATTAGGGCAATCCTGCGATGTGATCTAGCGAATCATCGAGTTCCCCACGACCTGCCTCTCATCGCGTGATAACCGTACGATCAATAAATCATTCGAGCTTAACAGAGTACCAACGGCTTTCGCTATGCGATATCTTTGTGATGTTTGCTCGCAACAGCTAGACAGCATTTACCCCGGCATGGGCATGTCGCTGTCTCAACTCATCCACACCAATCACGGTCAATTGGTCAACCTACTTGGATTGTCTTCCCCCATTTCCCTCGTGTCTCGCCTCGTCTCTCTCGCCTCATCTCTCTCGCCTCATCTCTCTCGTCTCATCTCTCTCGCCTCGTTTTTCTTCCCCTCCTTCGCCTCTTATTCGAACCTCTCCCGAACCTGCTCCCGCGCATCAGCTCCGGAAGCCCCTCCACCATCATCCAAGCCCGACCCGCCTGCAGACCTCAACACAGGTGCGTGCTCGCATCTTAGTGAACTGATTGCTTCAAATCCGATACCAAGTATCCGACAGCTGTGAATGCCTGTCTCATTATCCCATCCCAATGACTTGGCGTCAATGCTTTGCAGTGATGAAACCGATTCGAGAGGCCCCATGTATTAACGCACTGACCCGCGATTAAAGCCAGGGTCTCATGTAAGGGTTGGCCGTGCAACTGCAAAGCACTTGGGCGAAAAGTGGGCTCTTTGGAGAGTCTCGATTTGTTAAAACTTTGGCCCCAAATTTGTAAACCAATCAGACAGGCCCGTTTTTCATCGACTGCAAAGCACTTGGTCACTTGAGACCCTGGCTTTAAGGCGTGAGAATCCAGTCACTGCTGTTGGCCGTCCCACCTTCCCTCTCACCCCCACAGTCCCGCATCACAACACCCAGGTGCTGCAGGCGACATTTTCCATGGTGCGGTGCAAGGCTTCGCTTTTGTTGCACAGCCGTCAATCCTGCTCTGTTTCCCACCGCGCCTCCCTCTCTGCGCGTCCCACTCCACGCCTGTGCTGGTGAACATGAATGCGCTCTGGTGACGAGTGCTGCTGCTCCTATTTACCTGGCCCCTGGAAAACAGCAATCTCGCCTGGCTTTCCTCTGTATTCCACGTCGTCCCACCCGTGTGTTGTGTGTGTGTGTGTGCCCGCCCTGCCCGTGGCAGTGCTGGAGCGCAACATGAACACGCTGCTGATCACGGAGCTGCTGCGCGGCATGGGCCTCACGCTCAAGTACTTCTTCGATAAGAAACTCACTGTAAGGGGGATACATGTGGTGTGCCATGCCATGCCATGCCATGTCATGCCATGCCATGCCATGCTGTGTCGTGGCTCACGGTGAGCTCGTTAGAGCGCAGCTGCTGTGAGTGGGTGAGTATGCTTGTGTGGTTGAACGCATCATTGAGTTCGTGAGTGCGTGCATGAACCTGCCACTGGGAAATGCCGTTGGCAACTAGGGTTGAGCAAGGGGCGAACACGAACGTGTTCGCGTTCGCCCCTGCACGAACACACCCGTTCGGGCGAACCGAACGACACCTTTTGAAAAAGGTGGTGTTCGGCGTTCGCCTGTGAAGGCGAACACCTTGCTGACACATGCGAACTCGAATGTGTTCGAGGCAAACACGTTCGTATTCGCCAAGGGACAACTTCCACTAAAGTCACACATGGCAAACAGGCAATCTGACCCTCCCAGTTGATTTGTAGGGGGGTTTATGATGTTCTGGTGTTTATGCAATGTACCAACAGAAGCCACATCTTGTTCTGTTAATGCATCAACAACTACTGTCTCCATGGTTCAAAATGGCAAGAACGGCCACAAGCACAGCACAACAACAAAAACATTGCTACGCCCTGGTCCCACTGCCACCAACAACACCAGCCCCCCCCTCAGCTGTGTCCGCCTCCGCCTCCTCCTCCTCCTCCTCCTCCTCCTCCTCCTCCTCCTCCTCCTCCTCCTCCACCTCCTCCTCCTCCTCCTCCTCCTCCTCCTCCTCCTCCCTCCTCCTCCTCCTCCTCCTCCTCCTCCTCCTCCTCCTCCTCCTCCTCCTCCTCCTCCTCCTCCTCCTCCTCCTCCTCCTCCTCCTTCTCCTCCTCCTCCTCCTCCTCCTCCTCCTCCTCCTCCTCCTCGTCCTCCGCCCCCTCGCCCGCAATCGCGAACTCTGTTGCTGTGACTCCTCTCGGTCGTCGGCCCTCGCCAGTCCTCTGGCCAGGTGTGAACCATGCCATGATCTGAGAATCATGGAGGATCGCACCCTTTCGGAGTTCAGGCGGTCAAGGCTCAAAATTTCGGCGATTTTTTCAATGTTTGGGCGAAATATTCGCTGTCGAAACTTTCGCCAAAAATTTTCGGTTCATTTTGCCGAGGTTCGAGATTTTGCATTCGGTGCAAAATTTCAGCGAAATTTTCAAACCACGCTGAAGAAGTGAGCAAGCAAATGAGGATTGAATGGGGGTCGATTGGAAATCTAGATCTAGGAAAGCCCACCTCAGCCCAGTTGGGTGGGTTGGGATTTCTAGGTCCAAAGCGGTAATACGCGGTTAAGAGATAGAAATAGGTTGGATGCACAAAATGTGACAATTTTGTGTTCTGTGGAGGTCAATCTTCAACATCGAGTTAGGGCTTGTCGCGAATTCGTCGAGCTTAGTTAACAGTGCCCATCACCTTGCAGAATTCGTCAATACTACTAGTTAGAATCACTTGATTACGCTTCTCTCTCAACCTGAAACTTCTGCACCACTGCGTCATGCCTAGATCTCCCTAACCCGTGTGTTTGAAGTGGATACTTGAGTCACGACATTGTTTCTGGTCCTCCCCACCCTTTTTTTTTTTTTTTTCCGAAAATGCGAGCGAAATTTTCGGGCGAAACTTTCGAAGCAAAAGTTTCGCCTAGCGAAATTTTCAACCTTGCAGGCGGTGCCGCTTCTAGGAGATGAGGTTGCGACGCGGAGAGAACACGCGCTCGCTTGCAGCGGACGTGACTGGGATGGTGAGATAATCCCTCGCCATACACTTCAGCGTCTGCATGTTGGTGAAGGTGCGCAAGTACTCTAGCGCTGTCATGTCATACTGCACACGCTCGGACAATTACCTGCTAACCTCATCATCCTGCACCATCCCCCCCCCCCCCCCCCCTCGCTGCCTGGCTCGCCGCTATGATGGATTTAACGTCAGATTCAGAAAATTTCAGGCGTCAAAACGTGGCGTTTTGACGTTTGACGCGTCAAAGCGTCAAAACGCTTCACCCTGGCCAAAATTTTCCGGGCAGCCCGAAATCGAAAAAAAACGCCCAATGTGCTATGTAATTGATGGAGAACGAGGCAAACTTGGATGCTTTTACTTATGAAGTACTTCTTTTTCATGACTGCCCCACATATCCTACAACTCGTGCTCCCCAACCCCCCCACCACCCAACTTCTCTTACTAAACCCCCTGTTCCCAGTTGTTTACCCCTGCTCGGGAGGTTTTTTTGCCTGCCCGCCAGAGCGTCAAACTAGGGGGTATCCCTGGGACAGGGGGTGTCAAGAGCGTCAAAACGCTAGCGTTTTGACTCAGAGTCAAAACGCTGAGCGCGTCAAATCCATCATAGGCTCGCCGACAGACGCGCCGCAAGTCGTCGACGACTAGGAGGAAACTGGTCGTCCTCGTCATCTCCCCCCTCTCCTTCCTCCGCAACGGGGCCAAGTGTAGTCGGCCGAGGAGCAAGCGATGCAGCCGCAATTTGGTACTCGGCTACGTGCCCGCGTTCAAGCGTGATCACCTCGCTGGACGAGGGACGCGGCCTCTCCATTCAGGGTGTCTAAGGACGCGGTGAAAGTAGACGATCGATCGTCAGTCGCGATCGATGTGCAGGTCGTTGCCCTATTAACTACGTTGTAACCATGCTACAATACGCTTTTTGGCCAAATTTCCTGTAGTGTGTGAATGCGTCTGATCACTGATCACGGGTGATCTCTCAATTCTAAGGTGCGATCGTTACAACGTCGCGGTCGCCACGTTTCGCCAATTGATTTGCCCACTCGATTGTGGGGCTCGATATATGCAGACGATCCTGCGATGTTTGCACTTTCACCGCGTCCTAAGGATGCAGCTTCTCCCAGTGATCGTCCAGAAAGGTGGCGATCCTGTACTCGTTGCTAGTGATGTAGGCGTACTTCTTCAAGTGGCCAAGCGTTGCTTCGATCATCGGCCGCAGCGTCGCAGATGGCCCCTTGGCAAGACGCGTCTCCATGGCCTCGATGAGGCCGTTATAGTACGGCACGACCATCGCCACTGTCGAGTACACCGTCCCCTCAGCTGCCTTGGAGACCTTGTTGAAGGAGCTGAGTAAAATCTTCAACCCCTCCAGGATCTCCCAGTGCTCGTCTGTAAGGCGCAGGCTGTCCATCTTCTCCTTCTCCCCCTTCGTGAAGCCCTGCCCGGGTCAGTGTGTGGTATGGTGGGTGAGAGTGGTAAGAAGTTTAGGGGTTTAGTACGCATTTTGAGAGCAAAAGACAATCTTGTTTAAAAGTGTTGAGGTGATGTCTAACCTCAAGCCTTGACAAACCCCGAAAGCAAAACCCACATGCTATACCTGGGTCGAGGCAAAGAACACCATGATGGGTTCCGCAAAACGGTGACGCGATCGACCATGTCGCCCGTCGAGCCCCAACGCGCTGGACTGTCTTGCACCAGCTTCAACGGCGGGTGTTGTTGTTGGCCTGCAAGTTCAAGCTCCTTTGGAGCCCTAAGAACGTTCCCGAGTGGAAAGGACACTTTGAGTGAGATGGTTTACTAGGGTTTGGGGATGGATTGGAAATGGTATGGCATACGCCCACCATACCGTCCTTATCATCTCCACCATCCCATCCATGCCACACCGTCCAAATCATCCGTAACACATCGTCCATACCATCCATAGCCGTATGTAGACACTCACCACCTCGGCCTCAACAATGCGGAAGGGAAGGTCGCAGGTGACCACCAGCTTGGCGATCGCCTGCCGTAGCTCCACCTTCGAGAGCTTGGTCGTCATGAAGCGCTCGATCCCTCTTGACCCCTCTACCTCTCGCCCTGCCTTCCCTTTCTTCTTTGCGATGTTCGGCCAGCTAGTGGCATGCGGCCACTCATCGACGTAGCCATCCGGCACACCCATGTAGCCCCCTCGTGGAAACGTCTCGCCAGCCAACTGAAGGTGTGGATTGTGGTAACGGTGGTACCACACGTCCATGTGCGTCGTGTGCCAGCTCTCGAAATGACGCTCGCCAGGTGTTGTAGTGGACCCCTTCCATGAAATTCCTATCAGGTCAGATCTTGCAATGCCGCTTGTGTTTAGCCCCTTTAGGCCCGAACATCTGAACTTGCCATCTCAATTTCTTTTTACCCTTGCCACTCCCCCTACTACTCTCGGACCCTGCCTCCTCGTCAACAAACTCAGGAGCGACCACACCCTCTCCCAAGCGCTCCCCAGTGAAGGTGCATGGATACGCTCGAGGTCGCAACTTGGAAGCTCCCTTCTTTATCAGCTTCTTAATGGACGGCTTCTTTCTCCCCACCTTAACCCCCTCGCGCCCACCTCCTCCACCCACATGATGTGAGGCCTCCTCCGTTGCTACCCCTCCTCCCTCGCCCACCCCCTCCTCGTCCCCCTTTGGCTCCAACCCATCCATCTCGTCGTCTTCATCTCCCCTCCCTTCCCCACCGCCATGCGTCTCGGGATCCCACCCATCCTCACTATCATCCCCGCTCCCCTCCTTATCCTCATCCTCCTCCTCGTCACTGTCCTCCTCACTATCACTCTCAGTGATGGTAGTACGCGTCTGCCCAGAAGGAGGGGGTCGAGCACCAGTTTAACGGAACCAGTGACGGGATGTCGGCGCTGGCACGGACAGAAGCACTGGGTCTTGCAGGACCGTCACCTACTCGCCCTTGCATAGGTCGTATTGGAGACGTAGGAGTACCGCCCTGACTAAGCTGTGTAGCTCGTTTTGCTTGAGATTGTTGGTGGGATGCCATTTCTCTAGGTGGCTAGATAAACCAAAACCCTAGTTTTTAAACGAACGGGTGACGTGAAATGCCACTTTAATCACGTGTGGAGCCTCCCTACGTCTAACCGCACAGTTAAATTTCTGCACCTTTTTGTGAATGAATGGACCGGTCCTATCCCTAAACGAAACCTCAAGTTCTTCACGGTTCCGCCATTTTAGTAAAAGGTAATGTACCCAAAACGATTCTAAGATGGAGTATTGAGGCTCCTAGGACTCCTATGTAAGGGCGGTTGTGGGCGTTAAGGGGCTGGCGCTAAGGTCGCAAACAGTTTGAACTAAAAAAATGAGCTCAAACACAAAGGCCCGTGACCTAAAAAATTGGTCGCGGGCCAATTCGTAGACGAACACTAATGTGTTCGTCGAAGCCCCGTTTCATGTTCGACGCGGCTCGGCCAGCTGTAGGAGGCGAACACCGAACGTGTTCGTGCGAACACCGAACGTGTTCGTGCGAACAACGAACGTGTTTGCGCGAACACCGAACATGTTCGTGCGAACACCGAACATGTTCGTGCGAACACCGAACAGGTGCTCGTTTCATTGCTCAAGCCTACTGGCAACTGCTGTCAGTCAGCAACTGCGGTGGGAGAGCCTTGCTTCAAAGCAACTCCTTAGCACACAACTAGCCATTCAGACCAACAGCGCCCTTTTTAGTCTTTACTGCCCCTGGAACTGTTTCAGAGAATTCTCTCCTCTCCTTCCCATTAGCCCCTTTCGTCTGCATGTGCCCCCTGTCTCGCCACGCCCTTGTGCCCGTGTCGTGTCACGGCAGATCAACTACCCGTTTGAGAAGGGCCCGCTGAGTCCGCGCTTCAGGGGCGAGCACGCCTTGAGGCGCTACCCCACCGGCGAGGAGCGCTGCATCGCCTGCAAGCTCTGCGAGGCTGTTAGTGGAAGGGGGTGGAGGGGGGTGCGGGCAGGGGGGTGGGTGCAAGCTGTGTGTGAAGCCGTGAGTTGGGGTTGATGAGAGGACCGCTGCATCCCCTGCATGCTCTGCGAGGCTTTTAGTGGCGCTGCTGCTTTCCTGCCATTCAACTCCCATCCATTCCTTTTTATCTGTTTTCTCGCTCGTCCTGTTTCCTCGTAAAGTGAGAGAGTTGCTTTTTGTGTGGCGTCTTTCTAGTTTGACAGAATGCCTTGCCCAGTAGCTCTCTCTATCTCCCTCTCTATTGCTCCTTCCTATTACCTCGTTCACAGGTAAAATAACCGGCAGTATAAGACAGATGATTTAAAATACAATAGCTGGCGGCAACTGCATCCCTCTCCCTCTCCGTTTCGATCTGTATCTGCCTCTCTTTCCTCCGTATCTCCATGTCATCTCGTGCCCCAGGTGTGCCCGGCCCAAGCCATCACGATTGAAGCAGAGGCCCGCGAGGATGGCAGCAGGCGAACCACGAGGTGAGAATGGCACCCATGGTGGCACCCATGATGGCACCCACGGACCTCTTTTCTAGGCATGATCAAATGGCCCGACCCGACCTGACCTGGGCGGGCCAGCCGGGTTCCGGGTCGGGTCGGGTCAGGTCGGAACATCAAAGATCTCTGGCCCGACCCGGGTATCGGGTGCCGGGTCAGGCTTGACCCGCCCCCGGGCCGGGTCGGGTCGGAGCCGGGTCGGGTCGGGTCGAGCCGACTCCCATAGGCAGGGTTAGAGGTTCTCTTAAATACTGTGCAGGTTCGCTGAGGGTTAGTGTTCCGTTATAAAAAAACGATTGGCTGAGTACTAACTAAACAAAATCGCACGTTGTAGGGTAGATTAGTACGCCAATGTTGCTGGGTGGGTGGCTGCTGGCGTCACTAGCTAGGTAACTTAACCTAATCCAGATCGAAATGCTAGTCACTGGGAAAACAATCATGCGCGACTGCGATCTGGATAACATTGTCGAGAGGAAACCCTCGGGTCGGGCCAGATACCCGACCCGACATAGGGCGCGGTACCCGAAACCGGGTCGGGTTCATATCGGGTCAAAACACGACCCGACCCGCCCCGTCCCGGAATCGGGTCACGAGTTGACCCGACCCGGCCGGGTATACCCGACCCGGCCCGGCCGGTTCAGCGGTTCAGAACTCCTGACCCGACCCGGGTCAAAACCCGGGTAGGGTCGACCCGACCCGCCGGGGCGGGATGCTCATGCCTACTCTTTTCTCCCTTCCCTTCTCCCAACCTCGGTAGATACAGAGTGTAAGTGCCTTCACTTATGAGGCATAACCTCTTACACACACATGAACAAAGTGCGTCCACATATGCTCCGAAAACCCCCCAACCTCTCTCCACTCTGCCCCCTCGCGCCCTCCTCCATCGCCCACGGGTGCAGGGTCGTCATTGATTTGACCTTGTCCTTCCACGTCTTCAAGCCCAACCTCCCCGCATCCCGTTCCCCCTCCCTTCCTCCTCCCCTTCCCCCCCCCCACCCCCTCCCCCCCCCCCCCTTGCAGGTACGACATAGACATGACAAAGTGCATCTACTGCGGGCTGTGCCAGGAGGCGTGCCCCGTGGACGCCATCGTCGAGGGCCCCAACTTCGAGTTCGCCACCGAGACCCACGAGGTGAGGTGGAGTCTGATAAATGTTTGGCCCCTTTGTCTCCCTACTCCCTGCTTCATATTCTCTTCCTGCCCATTCTCTCTTCCCTCTTCTCCACCCTTTTCTACTCTCTTCCCTCCTCTCTTCCTCCTCTCTTTGAGTTCCCTCTTCTCCCTAACCCTCCCTCCCACCACCCTTCCCTCTTCTCTTCTCCTCTACTATACAACGCGGAGAAGCTGCTGGAAAAATGGTGACTGGTGGGACAAGGGCCTCACTCGTTCGCCGTTTCTTACTGTTCGCCGTTTCTTACCGTTCGCCATATCTTGCCGTTCGCCCTTTCTTGTCTCACTGGTTCATCCTTGTCTCACTGGTTCATCCTTGTCTCACTGGTTCATCCTTGTCTCACTGGTTCATCCTTGTCTCACTGGTTCATCCTTGTCTCACTGGTTCATCCTTGTCTCACTGGTTCATCCTTGTCTCACTGGTTCATCCTTGTCTCACTGGTTCATCCTTGTCTCACTGGTTCATCCTTGTCTCACTGGTTCATCCTTGTCTCGCTGGTTCATCCTTGTCTCACTGGTTCCCGTCTCTCCCCCCCAGGAGCTGCTGTATGACAAGGAGAAGCTGTTGGAGAATGGGGACCGCTGGGAGACGGAGATTGCCAACAACATGCAGACCCAGTCCCTCTTCCGCTGACCTCCTGCTTGCCCTGTAACAATCATGATGATGATGTGAGCGTTGTCAATTGTTACTTACATGTACTGCAATGCAATGCTTCTGCTTTGCTGCATGCATTATGAAAGGGTGGAACTACCGTACCATATATTAAGCAAGAGCATGCAGTACTAGCACCCTTCTACATGGTCCTGCAATTTTGATGCTTTTCAGGCTACAATACCGATAGCTTCGCTAGTACCGTAATCCCCCGGATACACTACCCTGGGTGTTGTGTTAGTACGCCCTGAAAATGAGGGGGTGGATGCACTTGCGGGATGAGCGTATTGCACCCGGGTCTGTAATTTTGCGTCAGATGTTATAAACGCTTAGCTATGTGCAGTGTTGTTTCCGCTATCTAATGGTGCTAAATTGGTTGTGTTTACGTGGGTTGGCTCAATCGACCCGGGTTCAAGAACGTGGGTGAATATAAGAAATATTATTGGTCAGATTGTGCAAGGTCCAGCGTGTCAAGAGATGCACGTTGGCGAGCCGAGACAGAACGTGACGAGAACGTGCACCCAAACACAGGCGCGTGTGGTCAAACGCGCCCAATTGTCACACGTTGGGGAGCCGCTTTGTACAAAGCCACACGAATGTGCGTCCATTGGAATAGCAACGAATATCCACTCGGTGCTTTATTCTGCTCCAAGTCACCAGTCTGGGGGGTGCTCTGTTAGTAAGGCAAAAAAGGGGGTGTTGTATTGCGGATTCCGAAATAGAAAATCCTCCCCGCATAAACCACCCATGGGGGCTGTAAATCGGCGGGCTTTATATCCGGGGGATTACGGTACTACCGTTGAACACTCTAGTGGAGCACATCACCTCATTCACAGCTTTTCCAGCCAGCCTACCGATAATTGCCACGAATGCCACCAAGCATGGGTGTCACACAGGGCCTATTATTGGTCTTCGGGCACCCTTAGAAATCAGGGTGACTTGACGATGTCACCCTGTCTGTCAGGGTGACTTGTTTTCCACCCTGTCAAAATTAGGGTAAATTTATTACCGGTAGCACCATGGGGTAAATGGGGCTGGGCAGGGCTCTCTTTATCATACCAAATCGGTCCGATGGTCTGATTTTTAGACCTTAATTTTTGCTCTCATCTGATTTTCAAGACTACGACATTTTGATTTTGGATCAGACAAAACATTTTGTCAAATGTTGTAGCCTGTAGTGAGGCTTGTCTTAGGGGGTACAAATGTTAGGGTTTGCTATATGTACCCCAACCCACATCAATGAACCATCATTCAGTTTCTAACATGGTATCAGCTAGGTTAGGATCCTGTGGGATCCCGCTCCTCCCGTCCACGTTCGTTCCGCCCGAGCCTGTCTCGTTCCGTAGTCCTAGTCGCGCCAGTCTCGCCCGAGCCTAGCGCCGCCGAGCCTAGCGCCGCCCGTCTCTCTCGTTAGTTAGCGCCGGCTGCGCCTTCTGCGTAGCGTCGCGACTCCGCCCTGCCCGTCCGTCCCCCGCGCTTCCCCCTGCCCGTCCGTCCCCCGCGCTTCCCCCTGCCCGTCCCGTCGCCCGCGCTTCCCCCTGCCCGTCCCGTTGCGCGCGCCTCCTCTGCCCGTCCGTCGCACGCGCCTCCCCTACCCGTCCGTCGCGCGCGTCTCCCGTTACGCCCTCCCGTCGCGATGCCGCGACCGCCCGTTACGCCCGTCGCGGGCCCTCCCTTCGCGCCGCCCCGCCTGCTCGTTAGCCCGCCGCCGCGCCTGCTCGTTAGGCCCGCCGCGGGCCCTCCCTTCGCGCCGCCGCGCGTGCCCGTTCCGCCCGCCGCCGCGCCTGCTCGTTAGGCCCGCAGCGGGCCCTGCCTTCGCGCCGCCACGCCTGTCCGTTACGCCCGCCGCCGCGCCTGCTCGTTAGGCCCGCCGCGAGCCCTCCCTTCGCGCCGCCGCGCCTACCCATTCCGCCCGCCGCCGCGTCTGCTCGTTAGGCCTGCAGCGGGCCCTGCCTTCGCGCCGCCGCGCCTGCCCGTTACGCCCGCCGCCGCGCCTGCTCGTTAGGCCCGCCGCGGGCTCTCCCTTCGCACCGCCACGCCTACCCGTTCGGACCGCCACGGGCCCTCCCGTTCTCCCCTGCCGCGCATGTCAGTTACGCCCGCCGCGGGCCCGCCCCTTGCGCCCGCCGCGCCTGCGTTTTGCGCCCGCCGCGGGCGTGCACTCGCCGCCCGCCGTCCCTACCCGTGCCGCCCGCTGCGCCTGCCACTGCGCCCTGCCGGTCTTGTAGCTTCTGGTTTCGCTATGGCGACCCCTAGGGTCCTTCGCTTTGACGCCGAGGGTAGGCCCCTCGAGTTCTCTGTCTGGCTCCAGCGTGCGCAGCGTCTCCTAGAGAGTCAGGTGCAGGCAGATGAGTCCCTGTGGGCGCACGCATCAGGTGACCTCCCCGCGCCCCCCGCTCCTGCTACCCTAGGACCTGACACGACCTCTGCGGACAGAGAGTGTGTTGCACGTCAGCGTGCTGACCTGACTGCCTGGCGATCACGCAACGCTGCAGCCTGCATCGCCCTCAGCAGCCTCCTCCCTGAGTCCGAGGAGACCCATTTCGCACAGGTTCGCACGGCTCGTGAGTTTTAGACTGCGATTAAGGCCCGCTATGCTACTCCTTCCACAGTCTCTCTTAGACGCCTGTTCCTCCCATTCTTGTTCCCTGACCTCGCCTCGTTTGAGCGCTCTGCTGACCTTATTGCCCACCTGCGCTCGCTTGACGCTAGCTTTCGCGCTGCTTGCACTGATGACCAGCTTGCACTGCTGCCTCCCCCCATGGCGATCACTATCTATTTCATCGCCACTAGCCTCCCTGACCGCCTTGCTTCGGTTCGTGACACACTTCTTCTGAAGCACCCTAGCGAGCTCACTATCGGCGTCCTTGAGTCTGCTCTCAAGGACGTCGAGAGCAACCTCCGCTCCGTAGCCTCCGCCTCTGGTGCTGTGCCCCCTCCCCTGTTTCACGGGTGCACTGTCCCTCAGCTGCCCACCTTTACTGCCTCCCTCGCCACTGCTGCTACTGACGTGACCGCAACTTCTGTTACGACTTCTTTGCGGTCCCAGGGTAGGGGTGGCAAGAGGAGCGGCTAGGGTGCGGCCGGGGGTGGCGGAGGCAGCGGAGGTGTCGTGGTGAGCGGTGGCGGCGGGAGTGCAGCGGCTGGAGGAGCGTCTCGTGCAGTGACCAGTGACTCCCCTGCTACAGCTAGTGGAGGTGCCGCCCTGCTTCGTCTGCCAGCCTCCGGGGGTGGAGCAGCGGCGTGGTACTTGACTCAGCGATAGCAGCAGCAGCCCCTCCCCTCGCAGCAGCCCCCGCAGCAGCAGCGGCAGCAGCAGGTTTTGGGGCAGGGGTCAGGACAGCGTCAGCTCCAGCGCAGTGTCGTTCACCCTCCGTGCACCTATCACGTTCTGACAGGTGCCCGCCGGGGCCAGCCCTGTGGCCGCACCCACCCACCGGGTCAGTGCTTTGCTCAGCTTACTGACACCGTTCGCTTGGCCTACGGCTTTGATGGCCCTGCCCCTGACTGGTTTCCTCTGGTTCAGTCGCACGGCCTCGCTCTCTGGGGCATGTCTGCTTCTCAGTTGATTGATCTGTTAGGAACTCCTCATGCTATGTATGCTGTTGTTGACTCTAGTGCTTCTGACTCTGTTTACTCGAGTGTTGTTAGCTTAGGTGCTAGTCTTGCTGAGTTGCCCGTTACTACCGTTCGTTCTTGTGTAGACACTAGTCCAGGAGCTGCTTCGGAGGACGCTTCGCTGTCTTTCACTCTGGACTCTGGGGCTTCGCACTGTTTCTTCCGCGACCACACGATGCTCACACCGCTTCCTGCGCCGGTCTCTGTAGCACTGGCTGATCCCACTTCGGGACCACTCACTGCTCCTTACACTACGACTCTTCCGTGCCCTGCTGTTCCTTCCGGGTCTCTGACCGGCTTCCACGTCCCCTCGTTCTCGAGGAACTTGGTGGGCGTGAGGCCTCTTGTGAGTCAGCACGTGGGTGTGTGGATTGAGCCCTCTGGCGAGACGGCGGTTTGTGTTGACGGGGACTCGTACGCGCCTCTTGCCACCTTTACTGCTGAGCCGGGCTCCGGTCTCTGCACACTTCACACTGGCCCTAGTGGGCAGCAGCAGCAGCAGCAGCCGCAGCAGCAGTAGCAGCAGCAGCAGCAGCAGCTCTTGCCCCCGGCCCTTGTCCCTGCCCCCCGTCAGGTCCCCGTGTCTCACGAGGTTGCCGCGTCCCCCCAGGTAGCTGTGTCTGGTCAGGTTCCCGTGTCTGGTCCAGTTGCTGCGTCTTGCTCCTGCCGGTCGCTTGCCCACCCCACCGTTCTGTGGCACCACCGGATGGGGCACCCGTCCATTCCTCGTCTGCGCGCTATGTCTAGTCAGCGTCTTGTCTTAGGCCTCCCGCGTGTCTTGCCATCGCTGCCGCCTTCGCTTGCACCACCGTGCGGTCCTTGCGTCGAGGGTCGGCTGCGCGCCACCCCTCACTCCTCCTCCTCGCGACCGGCCACCGAGCCTTTTGAGACGCTCCACTTGGACGTCTGGGGCCCCGCCTCTCGCCTTGGCCCTGAGCGTGAGCGTTTCTTTCTGGTGGTCGTTGACGACTACTCCCGCTACACCACATTGTTCCCCCTGGCGAAAAAGTCTGAGGTGACTTCTACCCTGATCAGGTGGTTATTTACCACTGCGGACACTCGTGGCCGTCGTGTCAGCTGTCTTCACTCCGACTGCGGGGGTGAGTTTCGCTCCGGCATTCTCGCTGGATTCTGTCGCGAGTAGGGCATTCGTTAGTCCTGGACGCTTCCAGAGTCCCCACAGCAGAATGGGGTTGCTGAGCGCCGCATAGGCTTGGTCATGGAGATCGCCCGCACCTCCATGACTCACGCCCGTGCCCCCCATTTTCTGTGGCCCTATGCGGTTAGGTACGCCGCTCACCAGCTGAACCTCTGGCCACGTGTCTCTCGGCCAGAGGCTTCACCGACCAGTCTTTGGACCGGGT